GATTGAATGAAGAGCTGAAGCTTAAAGATTGAAGGATGAAGTTGACACTTCCAGATGAGTGAAGACTACTCAGAGAAGCTGAAGCTTGTAAGAGGAGAAGACCAAGTTGATACTGGTAAAGCAAAGAGAGCTGAAGCTTGAAGACTGAGTTGATACTGAGGAAGGAGATTCAATTGAGATTGAGTGTAAAGCTGAGGCTTGAGGAATAAAAGATAAGTTGATACTTACACTGCATTGAGAGCCTGGAGGAATCAAATTGATACTTGTGGTTAAGAGCAAAGCCTGAGGGTGGAACTGACTGTAAAGCTGAAGCTTGGAGAAGTGAAGATTAAGTTGAAACTAATGTTGAAGGGTTGAAACCTGGAAAAGCAAATTGATATTTGTCATGAGAGGATAGCCTTGAAGGGTGGTTGAAGTCTGAAGATTGGTTTGCTGTTAGAAGAGCTGAAGCTTGGAGTGAGAGAGAGGGGTTGATCTGCTTTCTTTCCTATCTGTTTTCTTTTCTGTGCTGATGTGTCTTGTTTGACTTGCTTGATGCATTAGAATAAGTCCATGATTAGACTGACTTTAAGCTAGGAGCATGATTGCACTAGAGGTTGAGTTGCTCCCTCTGCTTGTATTTTTACTTTATGGCTTTGCTTGCGGGTATTCGGTAGAGCCCTGCTCCCTTGCCTATGTGGTTTATCTTGCTCGATAACATGTTATTTTCTTCTGTATGATTGCAGTTGCTCATATTTTGCTTGATAGCATGTTATCTCCTCAGTAGGATTACTGTTATTCATTATGGCTTGAGGTTGAGATGAGCTTGTGGAGGCTGCTGCCCCACACACATTTCCTCCCTCACTTGCATTGCATGCATTTTACAGTCGTATATCTGTTTACTGGTTAAGCTGATGTTTTATCTGTTACTGTGTATCATTGACATGATCCCTTAGGACTCTCACTCCCTTTGATAAGGAAGTGATGATAGAACTTTAGGTTGAAACCTATGCATGATAACTTCTAGGAGTTCCCTGTTTCAAACCTCAACCATAGGATGAATCCTTGGCATGACAACAGTAGGACTTGATAGTCTCCCTTAGTTGAGCCTGTTCTCTTCTCATCTCAAAACAGCTTAAGATACAGTAATCATGAATGATTTCTTTCGTACGTTACGAGCCTTAAGCTATCTGAGAAAGGATTGTTGGAGAGTTTATTTCCAATAGCCTGGATGTCTAGTATGGCACCCTTTGGGTGACATGCGACGCATTCACTCTCAGGTCATAGTCTTTAGTGCGATTGAAATTGCAAACGCAATAAAAAACACTTCTTCCGTAAAAGACAGAAAACAAACTTCAAACCTTTTTTCCCCGTGGGCCCATAATTCAAAGGAAAGCTTTTCTGAAGAAAAGAGTGTCGTTAAACTTCAGCGCCAACGCAAACATACTTTGTCCCTAACTGCTGGAACTGCTGTTTAACCCTACTCGATAAAACAAATGAATCTGAATTCCCGTAATCCGTAGTATCCCAAACTACGTAAGCTCTGATCTCTCATACCTGTTGAGAGTACGTAGGCACAATATTGATGTATTGGAGAGCCACCTTCCCCGTAACCCGTAGTTAGGCGAACTACGTTGACTCTGATTTCTCATTCTCTGATGAGAATACGTAGGCATAAAGCGCGATGCTTTGCCGAGTCATTTTTCGTTTAAGCCAGCCTTGATAGGTAGATAGATAAACCAACTCGTCCAGTAAACACAACAAGCGTGGATCCCGTCGAGTACGACGGACGTGAGGGGTGCTAATACCTTCCCCTTGCGTAACCGACTCCAGAACCCAGACAATGGTTGCGATGACCTTGTCTTATACCTTTTCGTCAGGTTTTTCCGATCGTTTCCTTTCCCGTTCTGAGGGATAAATAACGAAAGGTGGCGACTCTTCTGTTTTGCCGGCACCTTATTTTCGAGGTAGCGACACAAAGGTATTTCTTACTTCTTATGCATTGCTTTATAGGTATCGCATAACAAAGAATGTGAGAAATCAGGTTAAACCTGCGGTGGGGGCAAAACAAAGAAAGTTTGAAGATGGAAAAATGGTGAAGGCGGGTGTCATTGTGGAAGAAATAACGGATGCATGAAATCAAATAGTAAATTCTTCCACTTAAGAGTTATATGACGTTTTTTTTATACATTTTAGGAAGGTGTGCAAGAAATATCACGATATGTTGAAAACACAATTCTTGATCATGTGAAGGAGAAAATTGTTTGTGCATGGACCAATCAGGTTAAACACCTTGAAAACACAACAATTAACCGAGTTGAGGCTGCCCATGCTACATTGAATAATTAGTTGGGAAATAGTATGGGGGAATAAATATGGAAGAATACAACAATTAAAGAAAGAGGACCAAGAATAAAGGAGTGTCTCACACTTCTATCAACATGGAAGAATACCAAGATCAACAACAACATTGAATATGTAGAGTTTCTGTTATCTGTTGTAATTTGTACAAATCCTTAAGATTTCTTAAACATTAAATATATTAGAAATATTAAGAGTTGTGATATTTGTTATGGTTATTATCTTATACCCCTGGTTGTATATCAAGTACACCTTGTTCTATATTCTGCTAAACATGTTGTGTTCAGTAGTTTAGATAAGAAAGTCTTTTGCTATGTGCTTGAGCATCAAAGTCTCTTGTTGTGAGCTTGAGGCAAGTAAGTCTTCTGTTATATGCTTGAGCATTGAACCTTTGATCATTTTGTTGATTAAGCAAGGAAGTCTTCGACTGTAGGTATAAGCATGAAAGTCTTGGATTTTGTGGAATCTAAGTAGAAAAGTCTTGTACTCAAGGGTATGAGCAGAAAGTCTTGAATCTGTGGGATTTAAGCAGGAAAGTCTTGGATTTGTGAAATCTGAGTAGGAAAGTCCTGTACTCTAGGGTATGAGCAAGAAGTCTTAAATCCATGGGATTTAAGCAAGAAGTTTTGGATTCGTGGAATCTAAGCATGAAAGACTTAGACTATGAGTCTGAGCATGAAGTCTTGTACTTGAGAGTATAAGCAGAAAAGTCTTAGGATCTGAGGATCTAAGCAGGAAGTCTTGATCAGGTGCTGAGCAGGAAAAGTCTTATGCTCGAGGGCATAAGCAGTTATAATCATGATTTGATTATAGTGAAAAATCTCTTGTGCTGCAAGGGGACTGGACTACTCTTAGTTTGGGAGGAACCAAGATAAATTTTGTGTTCATTTATCATTTACTTGCCTATGTTATTATTCCACTGTAACTTGTTAATCAGGTTCTGAACTATTGTTTAAAATTTGAACTTTGTTCAGAAGCAACACAAATTTGAGAACACAATTCAACCTCCTTCTTGTGTATTTTTCTCACCTTCAAGTTAGTATATTGCGACAATTGTGAGAGATATCATAGAGAGAGAGAGAGAGGAGATTTTGAGGAAGGCAAATCTTGCATGGTCGTCATACATGCCATCTTAGTCAAGGCATGAAATGTCTTGGGGTACAGGCAGTAGAGGAAAAGTAGAAGGTTAGGTATACACAATAGTTTGTTTTTATTTTTGATTTGGTAATAATTGTATTTTTTAAAACAAATTATGCATCGTTATAACGGTTTCGATTAATTGATTAATGTCAGAATTTGTATTATTGTTTGAATTTATATATGACATCCTTTTATATTAGTATATTTAGCATGGTGCTAACATATCCTTAGTGTAAATGGCCTAAAAAATATCAATTTGGGACACTTATTGCCAAGGCAAAAAACTCGCAAAAGTTTTCTGAGATTATTCTAGAGATATATCTACAAAATCATCCTTAAAAAATTACCTAGATGCATCTCTGGACCATTTTTTGACAAACTTGTGATGGATGGTTAACTTGTGAAGCACAAAGTGCTTTTAGGAATTAATTCGAAGATGAATCTTTGTGATTTTTTTGGAGTGAATCAGAAAATACATCATCAAACCACTTTTTTTTTTTTTTGACAAATATGAGATAGACGACTCACTTATGAAATATTATATGCATTTTACGTACATTTAAAAATACATTTCTAAAATATAAAAAATGACAAATTCAAATTTTTAGTGTGGTAATGTCCTATGTGGTGTGAGGGTTTAAATGTGATTGGCTTTCCTTTGCAACTATGATCCTATGGTTTTGTGGTGCAATGAAATATATTAAAAGAAAACTTTGTGATTGTTTTTACAATGGATTATATTCAGATATCGACCTTTAGCCAATTTAACACCCACCTATTCTCAAGACCTAAAGTTTTGTCCAAACAACACATTGTCCTAGATCCTAGTTTCTGGTAAGAAAAATGTTAACTTTAGTAGTAGCATATTGATTGTGACACCGACTATTAGGCGCTATTTTATTTTTAAAATTTTTTTTGTCACATCAATTAATATAAAAAGTATACTTTAGAATCTAATTTACAAGTCACTATTGAGCAAAATATATTTTTATAGACACTATTTTATTTTTAAAATTTCTTTCCATGTGGCGTCCTAGTATTTTATTCCAATCTACTTCAATTCAATAATGAAGTCTGCATTTTTTTCCTTATTCAACACAAGAATGTGATTCTACCTATCAATGCAATAAGCTTGACTTGCAACCAACCAGAAAAAGTTATTCCTTTTTTTTTTGTTTCTTCATAGATGAGAAGTTTATTGTGATCTTTCCAAATAAGACTCACTGCAATACCGAAGAAACTTTATCTTAAATTTTATGCTTTCCATGAGTTATGTTTCGAAATTGTATATTTCCTTATTATGCTTCATAAATAAATTAAATTACAAGGAAAACACATCAACTTGGAAACCTGACTCAAATTTCAATGAGAATGTGATTTACATACAAATTACAACTCAATGAGAAAGGCTATTAACTATAATAAGCATGTCATCTATTCAAACACATTCAATTCTCTAAATAATTGAGAACCTAATGTTGTGTTCTCTCAATAATTGCAAAGCCTATATTTGTATGTTCTCAAGCAACAATTTCATCCACGTTAGAATTAAATACAAAACTCGGAAAAGAAGTTGTTATGTCCCTGCATCAATCACAAAAATAACAGATTACACTCTAGTTTGAACATCATAATATGTATCATGAAAATGATTCTGCACATACCTTAGGTAGGGTAGAGTCATGATTTTGAGCAGTGATGGATTTTCAGAAACAAATTTTCGCCACTCGACCATGTCTATTTTGCCATCTTGGTTAAGGTCGGCGTCCAAGAAAGTCTGGCCAGAAAAGTAAATACTACGTCAAGCTAAAGTTGAGGTTGAAAAAGAGGTTACATCCTACAACACAGGTTCTACTTCGAAGAATATTTGTTCTGCAGACGGAGTTTCGTATGTAACATTCAATTATTATCTACTAGTTTTACAAACATACCTTGTCGAGAATTGTTTCTATCACGTCATCAGCCAACTTCATTTCAGATTCGAAAAGAAGTGCGATCAACATTTGCTTGACCTATCAGACATCACCACACAAAGGGAAAGAAAAGCAAATGTCAAATTAAAAGCATATCAGCTCACGCTCACAGATAAAGAGGATAAATGTTACAGCAAAAATATCTAAGAGTAATGTAATGAACAAGACCAGAACGAAAAATAAAAACATAACTCTCGGTGGATTAGCAAGCACTTCATTTTCATCGAAGACATATATGAACAAATAATCCCCATCTTACCTCTTGACGCTCTATAAAACCAGTATTGTGCAAATCATAGAGCCTAAATGAGACTGCATGAAAATCCCAAACATCATATATCAGAACAGCCAGATCATAGTGAGAAATTTAAGGTAAACTACAATAAGTTGAGGATTCAATTTTTAACTCACATTCTATCTTGTCTTCTATTGCGGCATTTGGGTGGAAGACGTTGAGAGATCTAACGAAGTCATCAAAATCAATAACTCCCTTCTTCTTGACATCGAAAAGATCAAAGATCTGCAAGTATAAAATTCTGACATCGTATCAATAGATATTCAGCCAATAGAAAAGGTTATTTCACAAAAATGGCATATAATTAAGGAAGTTGCAAGGCTAATCAAACATTGGTTTGTATCTTCAAAGGAAATCGGGAGATGAGAAAAATAATCTACATGTATAAAGTTGACATGTACTGGATCCATTCAAATGGTTCACAATAATTATGATTCTTGTTCATTTTAAAAGAAGTATTGGGTTTCTTCTAGAAGAAAAAAATTGCAGAAAATTGAAGGGAACAAACGGTTATGGTATTAAGAAAGTAAAAGAATGATATATAGTACCCGATTTGCAAAGATATTTTCCTTTTTCTTATTCTTGAAGATTGCCAATTGAAACTCTTCCTGAAAAGAAAGAATATCCATAATCAAATTACAGGCTACAAGTTCAATATGAACAACAAATAACATCTGGATTTGGGGAGGCATTTGGAAGGGCTTATTTGGGCTTATCTTATTGTAATAGCATATATATAAGTGTTGCAAAAGCTTATGATATATTATTAAATTGTTTTCAGCTTATTTTCATAAACTTCCAAAATATCTTAGGCAGAGATCTAAGTAGTACCTTGCTTATTAGTCCATCATCAACAACAGAACTGCTGATGCTCTTAAAAAGCTCGAATAATGCTTCAACCTCGCTGACAGTGACTGTGAAACCAAAAATTGGTAAACAAGTTTAAACTACAAAAACTTGAGTGCTTGACAAAGATAGAGAGAGTAACTACATAACAAATCCATCTCAAGATGGAAACATTTTTGCTAATAACAAACAAAACTAAAAATTACAATTGTCCCAACTCCCATCAATTTCAATTGAGCAACCGACAAGTCTCATTTTTGTTTCAAACCAAGTAAAGCCTTTTTCAGGTTGACATGGTGACGGGATGGAAAATAATGGATTGCAGGCACGCAAACAGAACGAATGAGCAAATATAGAAAAACAACAGTGTTCTATGATATACTTACTTCCACAACGAGAAGAAGAAATGAAATTAAAACTGTGCCCAACATTTATATAACCACAGATAGCACACAGCCTATATTTACGAAACACAGTGAAATTCATTTTCCTTCATATTGCCCGTGTTGAGATATATCATGTGATCTGTCTCGCAAACTGGAAATAACAAGAGAATACAAATACATTATCTTTTACAACTTTCTAAAACAAATCTGACATTTTCCAAATTTTGAAAATGTCAAAACATTGTTTCCGTTTGTTTACGAAAATGCATTCTTTCAAGCTTATCTCCCATATCCTCTCTATCACAATTGTTACTAACACGGGGTCTTCCATCTCCTTGTTAACAATTCAAAATGAACATAAATTTTAGAAAACATTTTCATAAAGTAAATATATGCTTAGTTTAATCATTATTCTATTTTTAAGATTCATACCGCAAAAGTACAACACCGAATTAACTCCTCCTTAGCATGTATACTAAGAATTCGGTATAAACAGATCCAATCACCACAACCGACAATCTAATACAACAACAACCAAGCCTTATCCACTAAGTTGAATCAGCTACATGAATCAATATCCGCCATAATGTTCTACACAGAACCATATTTCTATCCAAATCATTAACCTCAAGATCTTTCTTAACAACACAAAACGAAAGCATAACATATTAACATCATTATACTGCAAAACCAATCAACTTACAAGCAGTCTGTGATGCAAGAATCACAGGATCCTCCTTCACAGGAAACTGTGTTGTCGGCTTAGAGTTGAAACAGCCCATTTATGGAGATTGGCAAGGCAGCTCGGTAGAGAACCACTGCTAGGGCTGACCTGATTTAAATATAAATATAAATATATCATTAAGAGGATGTTATTATCCTTCCAATCCAAACCCAAATTGAAACACCAGAACATATAACATAATATAATAATTAACAAAAAAACAACTATAATAAGTAAACAAATCAACCCTAGAAATTCACATAAACTCAACATGACTAAAAATTATTAAAAAAAATACAAGAAAATTAAAATAATATGGGCAGTCATAAGAATTCAACTCTGTATGTCAGAAATCAATAATTGATCATAGTGAGAACAATTTAAAACTGTTAAAAAATAATAATTTAAAACAAATAGGCGAATGAAAGGGCAAATAGGAAATAGTAAGAAATAAAAAAGTTGACTCGGAATGAAGATTATTTCAAGCCGTTTTCAGCATGAAATAGACACCAAAATTGAAACGAAGCTTTAGAGAAAGAAACTCACGCAGTGTAACGAAAATGAAATGTAGTTAGAAGTTGAAATTGGGGTGGCGGAGAGGAACACTTTATATATCGAGATTCACGCTGGTGTTTGTCCTAAAATTGAAGTAAAGTTGGAAACGGCGAACTTGGTTGGTGTGTCTTGTGTTGTTGTGTGGTGTGGCGGCACAAGGAATTTAACTAAATTATATCTTTCTTTTCTTGTTCTATTTTATTTCTTTCTTAAGTACACATATAAAAAAGTTTAATGGTTATGAAATCAAAAAATATCCGATGAAAATATTTCATCCTGTCTTTTAAATTTTTTAATATAACTTGTATATTTATGATTTTTATTATGTAAAAAAAATTTACAATCAACTTTTTTATCATAAAAAAATTATATTTTTTATTAAGAAAATTACTAATTTTAATATTTTAATATCTAAAATAATATTTTTCTATTTTGCTTATCTTGTTTCTTAACACTTATTTTCAAAATAATTTATTTTTAAAGTACATTTGATCCGTGCATTTTAATACACATTCTTTTATGTTTGTATTTTTTATTTATGTTTATTTTGTTTATTTTACTGTTTTATTATGTTTTCATAATTAAATTTTTATTTGTCGTTAATCTATTTTCGCAGTTTATTTTCAACTTTAGCGGTTATTTGATACATGTCAACTATTTGAATCATAACTGGAGTTACGGAAATCAGATTTATGCGTTCTTTCAGGCGTTAGAAAGCTGAGACAAAGATATACAACTTTTATGTTTTACACAAAAGCTGATTCGGACTGTAGCAAACTTGAATAATTCATTGAAGTCGGGACGCGAATTCTGCCTTTAGGAGTACTTAGTTTTGGGTCGGATTTTTTTTTAATGTTTTTTGACCTAGTTGGGTTAGAGCTGGATTTTGTTATGCTTCCCTGTACCTAGTAGCAGCCCTGCTACTGTTCATCACAATTTTTCACTATTCACAATTGGAGTTTTTTCTTTTGTACGATTGAATGGAGAATTAATTTCAAAGATTAATCTGTTGTAATCGATTTCCGCCGACACTTTGAGATTCTTTTAATTTTCAATAAAATCTTTTTCCTTTCAATCCTTCTATATCATATCTTGTTTGTTTAATTCGATTTATCTTAGGGTTGATTGATTTATTTTGATGATTGCATGTTCTTATAATTTAATCGTGTTTGTTTAATTCGCGGATGTTTCTCATGTTTGCTTAACTCATGGTTGCTATATCTCATCTGTTTGCTTAATTCGAAAATTAAAAACATGTACCAGATAATATTAATTGGGCTTGTTTAGTTGTTATTATAATCGAAAAGGGGATATAATCCGCTTAGGAATTGAGAATTATTTGAATAGTTGATAAGTTGGAAAACCAAAATAGAAGATTAATCGTTTCAGCTTATTTAAACTATTATTGTGTTAGTTAATAACTTTACAAGAATCCTTGTGAGAACGATATTCGAGTTGTCATTATCATTACTACTATTTTAAAAAAATACTTGTTTTTAATTCATGCGCGACAGCGGATCAACATTATTGATGGAGTATATGGTAATTTATTTTTTAACCTACACTACTTTTTGAACATATAGATTTTTCTATACAATTAGATAGTAGAGGGGAGATGCAATTAATAAATAAATTATCCTTTTTATTAATATATTATTATGAATTTTTAGTTTTATATTTATTTATTTTTAAAAATTGATAATTTATAAATAAGTTTAAATTAATACATTGATATTAATAAATGATATTGTCACATTAAACCAAAAAAAAAAGAAATACTCATGAGCTATCTCATCTACAATTTTAAATAAATATTTCACACTTTTATATTTACTTTATTTTGTATTATATATTATTTTTATTATTATATAGTTTAAAAATTATAATTAATTTTATAGGATAAAGAAAAATTATGAGATGATTTGTAAAAAAAAATTATTAATGATATTTAAAAGAAATGTTTCAAAATTAAAATTAAAATAATAAAAATTTAGGAAATAGTATATTATGATTGTAATCGGACCTATATTATAGGTTTTTTTTTTAATTTTAAATATTTATAATTCGGTGGAGAAATAATTTACCTAGAATCTTTGAACGTGAGTTGGAATATTCTAACAAGAAAAAGTGCACGTGTTTATGTTTAATAATTGTCCAGCATGGATTACGCCTTCATCTTGATTTTTTTTCCATCATTTCAATCTTATTGTCAAAGCTTTAATTCAGGTAACGTGTTTTCATATTATTGCTCTGATATTTTCTTTTCTTAAAAGTTACATTTTTTTTCTTAAGAGGTTAGTTTTTCTTTTAACTGCTCTTGAATATTAATATCTGTGCAAGGATATCGATTTTAAAATACTTTTTTCTTTAACATAGAGGCTAGTTCAATGTGTTGTATATAAAATTAAATAACATAAATTTTACTACACCATGCCGTTTAATCAAATTAATATGATAAAATTTATTATGCGGTTAGCTCATTGTGTGCATCACTACAAGTGCACTTGAAAAAAAAACTCCAGAATTTTTAACATCTAACATCTTCCCACATGATTTTAACATTAGTATGTGCAAAGAATGTGATCCGTTTTTTTTAAGTATTAACAAGTGTGAGTAGTGTGGATAATAGTTCCACATTGAATATGAATGTGGTGACTTGAATATTTATAAGTGAGAGAACTCATACACCTATCACCTTAAAGTTTTGGGTGAGTATGTAGTGTGCCTCTCACAAAGGTGTTGCTCTAGTAAAGGAAAGTTCCACAATGTTCAATGCTCCTTAGTTGAAAAATCTTCCCCCAACAGTGGTATCAGAGCCTGGTTCGAGTAAAAGGGACTGACTTACTTGTATCGAAAGTATCCCCACAGGTCGTGGATTGAGTGTATCGTTGAAGAGTGTCAACGGCGGTACAAGGGTGCAGTTGCACAGTTGCTTCCGCTTAAGAGGGAGCATTATGGATAGACTCACACTTGAGGGGGAGTGTTAAGTATTAACAAGTGTGAGTAGTGTGGATAATAGTCTCACATCGGATAGGTGATCAATCACCATTTATGCTATGTAATCATCATGGAATCATCTGGTAGTGTTTTAGTCGTAATTAGGGTTTGTCGTAGTGTGTCGTAAATTTTGAGTTTCTCGAGGATATTTTACGCTTTTGAGTATTTTTTAGGTCAAATACAGGTTTGGAAGCTCAGATGATCAAATGTGAGATGTAAGATCGAGCCGGAGCGAGAAAGCAGAAGGAAAATGAAAATTTGAAGACTCTGTTGTCTATACGCGTAATGCCTTAGCTGTTACGCGTATGGACCTCACCTGTACGCGTAGGATATGTGAATCAAGTGTGAGTAGACTCACACTTGAGGGGGAGTGTTAAGTATTAACAAGTGTAAGTAGTGTGGATAATAGTCTCACATCGGATAGGTGATCAGTCACCATTTATGCTATGTAATCATCATGGAATCATCTGGTAATCATCAATAAGTCAGGTAAACTGTATGAAGTTACATGTGTTTTAGTCGTAATTAGGGTTTGTCGTAGTGTGTCGTAGATTTAGAGTTTCTCGAGGATATTTTACGCTTTTGAGTATTTTTTAGGTCAAATACAGGTTTGGAAGCTCAGATGATCAAATGTGAGATGTAAGATCGAGCCGGAGCGAGAAAGCAGAAGGAAAATGAAAATTTGAAGACTCTGTTGTCCATACGCGTAATGCCTTAGCTGTTACGCGTATGGACCTCACCTGTACGCGTAGGATATGTGAATCAACAGAGAGAGGAAAAAATCCACCCTCTGTCGATACGCGTAACAGGCAAGTCATTACGCGTATCAGTTTGCGCAGATGGCCTGAAAAGTGGTTACGCTATGATACTTGGGGTGTTCTTGTGGGCATTACGCGTAACGCCTTGGTCATTATGCGTAATGAGGCCCAAAATTTGCCAAAGCCCAGAAGCTGACTATTTACTCCCAGAACGCGATTTTTCCGGGGGTGAACATTTGGAGAGAGAGAAAACACGCGTTTTGGAGGTTGGAGAACTCAGATTTTCGCCACGGAGTCATATTTTCAAGAGTTTTCACAATTGAAGATTGATTTCCTTTGATTTTCTGTAGTGACAACTTCTTTTCTTTAGTTTTCCTTTATTGTTATGAGCAGCTAAACCCCCCATTGCTAGGGGGGTGACCCTGATTATGAATGTAATGAATGCTTTTTAGTAATGCAATGACTATTTTCTTTTCATAAGTTTTAAGTTGTTCTTATATCTGTTCTTAATGCTTTACTCGTCGGACATACGGATTATGATCTTTTATAAACAATTTTAGCTGGACAATGATTGTTTGTTGATATGAATAAGTGCATGTGATAATAAATGTTACCTAGGACTAGGGATGTTTTATCATAACCAGACATTCTCGATAATCGAATGTTTGAACATAACGATAATTATCTATGGACATAGTAATTAGGTTATGTGTTTAAAGATCTTTTCAATAAGGACTTAGGATTGGAT